ATTATATGATAAAATAATAGTATTAGAATTATTAATATAATTATGATATTATTTGTTACAATATTATTATTATATTATATTATATTATATTACGAGTATGAATTTTAGATTGAGAAGATTTTAAATTTTAAATTTCATTAGGGGTATTATGGGTATTATAAAAGTTTTATTAATTATACTTTGTTGATTCTTGTACAATCTAACAGCTAAAGTTATATTTAGGCTGCTTTTGATTTTAGCTGTAGATTCTTAAAAAATTCTTCAAAAAATACTTTTGAGGAGATTTACCAAACAACTAACATCTAGTCTTCTATCCAGTACTATCTCCATGAATAATATATCACCTTAGAGGAGTGCACATGTCAAACAATAAATGTAAAAAGTGACAAAAACAGTGACATAAAAAGTGACGCTAAAATGTCTCTTTATTTATAAACTAGCAATACTAATTCTATTTTTAAAAATTTCAAGGTAGAGATATTGAATTACAAATCTTGCTTTCAGAAATTAAAAAAAAACAAAAAAACAAAATTTTTGTGGCAAAAACTATCCAATGAGAGAGCGCCACGTTCATAAAGAAGTGTTGGAGCACACATGAAATTAATTTAGGCGGAGAGGGCCAACAACTAGCGGCCGTTGACTGCAGTAGTCAACACTATTGGGCCATTTCCACCTTCATTTTTAATTTATTATTATATTTAAAGAAAATTAGATGGTGTTTCGAATTTATACAATAATGTTCTTTAAACTCTAATCTTAATGTTACTCAACAAAAACTCTAATCTTAAGTCCCGTTCATTTCGCTGATTCGAGTTTAGAATTCGAGTTTTGCTACATTAAAAAACTCTCACAAACAATCACATCTAACTTTTTTGCTACAGTAAAAAGCTCTCACATAAAATCACATCTTAACTCGAATTAAAAACTCGAATCAGCGAACTAAACGGGCCCTTAATGTTGCAAGTAATAGTGTGACTCTATCATTAAACTTTATCTGGGACATAATTTCAATAACTTTATCTGTAACATAGTCTTAGTGAAGAAAATTCTGTCTTCCATCCGTTTTTACTAAGTCCTACATACTAGGTGCATGTGCAAACCCATCTAAAATCCGGCCTCGTTCGTTTCGCTGATTCGAGTTTAGAATTCGAGTTTTGCTACAGTAAAAAGCTCTCACAAACAGTCACATCTAACTTTTTTGCTACAGTAAAAAGCTCTCACATAAAATCACATCCCAACTTGAATTTTAAACTCGAATCAGCAAAACGAATGAAGCTTAGTGTGTGACATTTTGTTGTCGTAGGTGAAATTAAACATATCATTACAGTAAAACTGAGTCGGCTCTTTCTTTTTGAAAGGAAACTGATAATATTAATATTGTGCTAAATCAACCAAAACAATAGAAGCTATAGATTGAGGGAATTAGAAATAGCCTAAGTACCCTAAACATCCTCAAAACTATCAAACATTAAACTAGCTAGAAGGTGGGCGACCACATTACCATTACGAGCAATATAGGAGCATTGACCACCATTAGCAAATAAAGACATATAAATGTCTTTAATAATAAAACAATAATCAGATAAAGACATGAGAAGCACACTAATTAACTGAGTTTACTAAGTTGATAGCATCAGTTTCTGCCACCGCAATAGAAATACCAACTTAGTGGGCTAACTCTAAACCTTCTCGCATAGCAAGACCTTCCACCACATGAAGAGTAAACTTACCTCTAATTTGTTTAGCAAGGCATGCCTGTGTCGCTCTTGTCGAATCTCTAATCACCGCTTCAACTCTGATCAAATTTGTCGCTTATTTAACCGTCGTATCAAAATTAAGTTTAAATTTTCCAACAGAAGGCGCTATCCAATGCTGTGGAGACTTATGACCAGCAATCATTGGGAACATAACTGCCTTAGCACAAGAAGAATTGTCCATGAGCCGCTTACCAGCCATCTCGAAAAAGGCATTGCAATCCTTAAAAATCTGTTGGTATAAACTCAAAATACGGCTCCATGACAAAGAACACAACTAAATCAACTTTAGATAGATGCTATGCTGCACAACAAAATTACACAAACCATCAAAAGCTCAACCACATCTTTCTTTGACTAAATCAACAAAATTTCTTTGGCTTCATTGTTAGCACTCCAGTCCTCAGATTTGTGTATGTGAGAAGGAGCAGGGGCAGGAGGGGAAATTGGTTAGCACTGGATCAAGGCAAGGGTAAGGGGCGTCGTTGGAATACGGTTATGGGTTATAGGGAGGTGTGCAAGGGTTAGATAGGGGGAAGGGGAGTTAGTTAGAGGATTGAGAAATAAATAGCCTACGGCTAGAGAATGGAGGGCATTGAGAATTAAGAGAAGACTTGAGTCTGTGGAGGTTAGGAGGGGTCCTCGAATTCACCTCCATCTTTAATTTCCAGTTTTGTATTTTGCTTTCCCTGTACGTATTTTGATCCTTATTCAATCAAAGGAACCAGACCATTATGGTTATTTCTTCTGAATTCCTATTGATTCTCTTAGCTCAAGCATTTATTTTTGTCTAGAACAAAGGGAGTCCTAACAATTTTGGTATCAGAGCACCGATTCATGGCAAACCAAACAGATCGTTTCACGTTGTTGGAAATGAGATTGAATGGGTTCCAGGACTCTCTGCAATCCTTTGGGGACATGGTGAGCCCAGTACCTTGCCTCCAAGGAGACGTGGTGACGATGGGAGCATGCCTCGGAGAAGTACAAGGTGAGATGGCTTCCATGGGAACCAAGATCGACGGGCTCCAGGGCTCAATCGCGAGGCTGGAGGAATTTATGGTGAGGCAAGCGCACATCGACCAATCACCACCCAAGCGGCAACGGG